TGCTGGCAGGGGAAGACCCAGCTTCACGATTATACATCAGTCTACATTAGAAGGGACAAACTCCTGCATCCGGTAGTTTAACCGTAGGTTAATATCCTATATTGGCTTCCGAGTCACTGTGAGTACATAAACGCTCTACAGTTACATTCTGAGGGCACAGAGTTACTTTTACGAACAATGTTATCACGTAGTTTAAGTGGAAGTCACGTCTTTAAATGCTTATACTGCTACAGAAACCTTGAAGTTTTGGCATGGCAAGTGCCAAAAATAATTCCACCAACACAACCTGGTCCGCTGCCCTTGAGTCACACTTTCTTAAAAAAATAATAAATTGAAAAACTATCTTTAGGGAGTACTTACAGAACAATGTCCTCAAAGATCTAATTTCTTGTACAAAAATTGTAATATTAAAGAACTCAAGAAAAGCATTTACAGGCTTATTACAAAGCATTATATTTTGGACAGTGTATAAGGAAAAAAAAAAAAAAAACAGCCAGTAGTGTTGCTTATTGTCCTCATTTCACCTTTTTGCCACAGGAAACAAGACCTTTCTTCTTCTGTTGACTCTTGCTGAAAACCAGAAATCTCATCTATGTTTATTGTAGACCCAATTTTTGGTACTTGTAATTGTATCTATGAAAAAATACAATAAATTAAATAGTGCCAATAATATTACAAATTGTTAAATGTGTGAGAAAGCTTACAAGTCTGACAAGTTATTTAGATTTGTAGCATAAGTCCATGTTATCCTTTATTTTTAAGGATCTGGATCTTGTAAAGTCAGCTGCTAGTGAGGGGGAAAAAAAAGTTTTAAGTGCATTTACATTCTTAATGAAAACGAATATCATCTGCAAGATTCCTTGAGCAGAGATAGACACATTCAGCACACAAAGAACTTCCCCTTTAGGGAGTCTCATTAATTCCACATTCCCAAGTTTCTTAAGAGACCTAGTACTAAAAATATAAACTTTTGTTCTGACAACGGTACTTGATCATTTATGCACTTCACTTGCCTATCAAATATGACCTATGTTCTGTATGTCCCAACTCTCTTGAGCAAAGACTACACCGTTGTAAAAGAAGTTCTTCTATACAGAAGCATCAAATGTTTGTCACCAGTAAACACATTTACACACTTAAAGCATTTCCTTGCACTCTGGATAGTTTTTGTACTCAATCTGTGAAAATATACAAAAATATCCTAGGAGTCTACACTTCCATTTTTTTATTTCTTTCTTTTTTGTAAATTCAGTATTTTTGACACCTATTATTTGTATATATTAGCTCTTTATAAAATAGCATTAATAACTAAAATTAAAATAGCATAAGCAACCAGTGAATATAACTTCCAGAGTATTTGCAGACATTTAAACCTCATTCAAGAGGACATACGCCATCCGGTGGCACATTGAGAAACTTCAGGAGAGTTTGGAAAGGAAGGGGATTTCACCTCCTCTCTTTATGGCAGCAATCAGACAGTTTTGTACTCAGTTCTCATTTTTGTTTAACAAAGACATAGGAAGTGAAAATAGGAGATTCTCCTATGTCATTTAAGAGTCTCAGAGGAGAAAAGCACAGAAACGTTTAGAGAGATGCTAACAATCTCTACAGAAACAGATAGCAGAGTTCAGAGTATAACAGAGTTCAATATAACTAAGAACGATGCAAGAAGTACCTAAGTAGCTGAAAGCTGAAGCCTGACATTCACTCTAGAAACAAAGCACAGATGATAATTTTCTGAGCAAGGTGATCTCTTTTCTAGGGAGTTCTCATACCAGTGCTTAGCCTTGAAGTTGCGACAAGGAGTAACTTGAAGAGGTGCAGCCAGTCCCAGAGTTACCTAGCACTGCCTTCAGACCTTAGCCATCTAGCCCATGAAAGGGCAACATTGCTACCAGGTTTGAATATACTGAAGCTTAATCAAAACTCTCTTCAAAAATGTTAAAAGCAACCTGCAGAGGTGCAGCACAGCCTTTGTGGTTCCAGCTTAATCACAGCTCTGCAGACAGAGCAAGCAGAACCATGTCCTTCCTAACCTAAAAGACTCTTTCTACAGAATCTCTCTGGTCTCTCCAGAACTTTATATCTTAGTTTAAATTAAGCAGTGGTTTTCAAATACTGAAGTATAAAGCTTGATTTTTCTTCAGCCTGATTCACCTTAATTAAATTTGCACTGTTCTTTAAACAGCAACAAAATTTCTCAGTGACCTAGATCCTGTACAGGATCCAACAAATGTCTTCTGTTAAAAGGAAACACTTTACAGAGGTTTTTCTGCATCTTGTGTAGACACTGAAGCTAACATTAGGGGCAGGGAAGAGAGATGTTTGAATAAAAATAGTTCAAAAGACAGCTAAATGCATCAACCAGCTCTTGGCTTAACAGTGCCAGCCAAAAGTGATTTCTGTGATAGTAAAACAGAAACATAAAGGCTTTATAAAGAAGTTCGGGTGTCAGCTAAGTATTCAGCAAAACAGGAGATGAAGCTTCAGGAACTTAAAGACAAGATGAACAGGTAACCAAGATGGGTAGGAAGTGTCCATACTGGGACACTAGAGGCCAGTTAGAGAAACACAGATGCACCTAACTACAGTCAGATCCAGGCATAGAGAGTTGGGTGAACTCTTCCTCTGCAATTCCACTGACACACACACAGCCTTTACATTCCTAGGACTGTATGATTTTATATGTTAAAGATGCATAGAAAAGAAAACATTAGTGTAGCTTATTAGTCAAGTACTGTTGCTGAATAGCAGGAAAATACCGTTAAGTCAGAAATTGAAAGTTTTCAGGGTGTTTCACTCTTTGCCAAGTGAGTTTTGCAAATATTCAGATTAAAAAAAAAAAAAAATACACTCTCCAACAGACAGTTACCATCCAGACAGTGGAGCAGGTCTATATTCCCTTACCTTCGGGCAATCTTTTGGGAAAGCAGAATGCACTTCTGTTAAGCGGAATTTGGGGAAGCCTGGAAGACCTGTGACCTGGTGAAGTTCTAACAATGGAACAGATTTCTCCTCTGTTACATAGAGGCTGAAAAGATTGGTGACATTTAATTCACACAACTATTCACACAGAAGAAATACTCTTCTAGTTTTATTCTAGGGAATTTAAAAAAAAAATGGCATAAAGCTGACAGATTTCAAGGAGTGTCATTAAAAATACTTAAGACTACTCATGTACACTTAATATGCTATAAGAAAGGGTGACTGAAAGCTTCACAGCTTAAATGTTCTCCTCAGCTATGTGTAATACTGTGAGGCTTGAATACATTATACTCTAAAACTAGCATGCCAAAACTGGATTTAAAGAGTTCAATAAAATTAAAACCTGAATAGTATTATTTTCTTCTGGTCTTTGAGGAATAATTTCTGAGCTCAAAGATGCAGAAACAATTTCTTCTGAATTTACATACAGACCTGTTGTACTGAGGAATAAGTCTTCCCCAGATAAGGCTTCCCACATCAGTGACAAGCTAAGCTAAAATTCCACCAGAACATAAAACATACAGCAATAACTGTCCAAATAAATAACAGAGAATAATTCAAACTGGCTAGTATTTGTTGACTCATGCAACAGATGTTTTATTGCTTGAAAAATATGACTTAGCACTTCAATCTCCTAAACCTAAGTGATTATCATCTTTGGTCTCCTGCAAGACCTTGACGTTTTTCCATTTGTTAATCTAGTATTCATAAATTCAAGTTTGCTTGCAATAAAATATTGAGTTTTACAATACTAGGAAAGTCCATATGTTTTCCCTCTAAATAAACTGGTTCTAAATTAAGCAGTCCATGTATTGAAGATTTCCAAAACTATGTGGTTTACTGACTCTGTTAAAAACCATGCCATAAAAGTGACAGAGATGTCACTTCTATTGCAGCATGGAGGGAAGTGGTAGTACTAATAAAGAATTCAAATTGGCATTTATTTATCAAGCTGATCTGGGAAGATGACATAATGGAGGTAATGCTAGGAGGTGCCTTTGTTTTTTCCTCATGATGACTAATTTGCCTTGTTTTAATCACTGAAAAAGGATCAGGATAGACACTCACATCTAGCTTTGCAGGCTGGGCATAACCAGGGATTTTTCGTAGGGCTCTGTCATTCTCCATGATCAGCATGGTGGAACTCATTTGCTAAATAAAAACAGAGAATTTAAAATCAGTTTGAAACTCTGTGCTCTAATTAATTAACTACAAATTCCTACAGTATTCCCATAGGACAGAATATTGCATCATTATAAGAGAGCATCATTACAAATTGTTATTAGTTCTTATGGTTTAAGTACTGAATTATAATATGTTTACTTTGTGTCATGCTCTTCAAAATTAAGACAAAGAATCAGTAACTTACTGTAACTAGGAGTTAAAACACTCTCTAATATCTCTCTCATTTAATTGCACCTTCTGTTACCAGTCAAAATTCTCACTCCAATTCTATGCCTTTGTTCATTGGTGGAGCACACTGGAAATTCTTACCGTAGCATCTAGCTTTTCAGATGGCAGGACTTGTCCTGTCAACTCCCCTGATCTGGCTGAAGTGTTTTCCGGGGCAGATTCAAGCTGTCTGAATGATGATGCATCTTCTTGTAAAGGCCTAGAGAATTCAGCTTTTTTCTTGCATTTCAGCTTTTTGGCTTTAGTAGCTTGATTGTCAGGCTAAAGTGAGGAACAATTACACTTCATGTTATAAAGGGAGCCTTTATAGTCTGCTAAGTATTAACCAAGAGACAATCTCACACCCAGATCTACACACCAGAACAATGAGCCTGAGAAACAGGGAGCTTATGGGGTACCCGTGACTATTCCTACTCTCCATAGCGGTGGGATAGCTCTGGCCTCACTCCTCCCCACTGCCTGCAGCCAGCTCCCTCAAGCAAAAGGAGCAGCACCTGCACTTGCAGGCGCAGCCTTTCTCCCCCATGAGGACATGGCAAGCCATTTGTTTCAGCCTAGCTGTTAAACCGTGAAAAAGCCTTCCCCTTTCTTTCCAGTCCTACCAGTGGAGGACAGCGAAGATCAGTTTTGTCTGGAGTTCTCTCTCTCACAACTGTAATTTTACAGACTTTTTTCCCTGTAAAAAATTTTCAATAAATTAATAAACTTTAAGACAAAGACCACAGCTACTGTCCAACCTGTGTCTTACAGGATTGCACCTGAGAACACAGGTAGCATTCTACACCTCCCTCCTTCCTGACAGGGCTTGATTCCTCTCCCTTTCCTTGAGGAAACATGGTTGCTTATTAATCTGACGCTCACCTGGTTATTTACTACTAGACGCACATACTGTGGCAGTAGAGGAATTACATAATCACAACAGTCTTTTGTCAGTGGCAACTTCTGCTGCTATTAACAGTCCAAATTAAGTAGGGGAAAATAAAGTGGTACCTGGGTCACAGCCAGAACTGCATCATTCACTGCATCAGAACTGCAATTGCATAGGGGAATCCTGATGGCACTTGTGAACGCTGACAGGGACTACACAGAAGTAAGCAGCATGACTCAAACAGCTCCCTTCCTGGGTCCGTTAAACAAGAAAAGCTAAAGTGTTTTCACTGGGCATCACTTGTGATCACATGGAATAATAAAGTCTGTGGTTTGTGTTTTCTCCTAACAAGTTAGTGGCTGCTACAGCTGAACCAGGCCTTATTTAGAGAACAGATCTTACATTCACACTTCCCCCCTAGCCTCTGTTGAGCTTAACCTGTGCGAGGGGGACAACTGGCCAAGTGGAAGTCTCGTTCTGTTATCTTCCCATCACTTAAGTTTAGTTCAAAAATTCTGTTGTCTTACAGCTAATACAACTGTTTTACGTCACGGTTTACCTGCTACAGTAGTTGAAACATTTAATTCTGAAGAACTGTAATTGCATTTTGATGGTTTATTTCTAGGAAAAGGAGGAAAAAACAGAACTACTTACACTGAAAATTGTTAAAAATTATAAAACAATATAAAATAAAGTCATATAAAAATGACAGAATGAAGGAAAAAATGTTAATCCATTACACTTCACAGTTTTTTGACAGTTCATCATCAAGTCATCACTTACTTTGAAGATATTTGGAACTTAAAAAGTAAAGATGACAGTCACTAAAGTACGCTGCACTGAAATATATGTTTTGTTTCTTACTGTTCGTCCATCCAAAAAATGGACACGCATTCCAAACAAAAAATAATAATAAAAAAATAAAATACAATGGGTAGAACCTGACCTAAGATTTCTGAAGACTGAAATCTGCATGCTTCTATGGCAAAAAAACACCTCATAACAGCTGAAGACTCCTGAAGGATATAAAATATCTGTCCAAAATCTGCTTTTCTCAAACCCTGAACCCTAGAGACAAGATGAGGACTTGCCAACCGGCACCTCCTGTCCCCCCTATTACACAAGCAGTACTAGACAGACCGCTTGGGCACACGCACCCAGGTGCTTGTGAGTGAATGAAATTAGGAAGGGAATGAGTGAGGGTAAAACCAACTTCTTTAGAAATTTCACAAATATCACAATATCACCTCCTCCTTCCATAAGACTAGGACAAAAGTCTGTATGAGAATTTCTCTGCTTGCCTCAGTGCAGTATTTTCAGTGAAGCTGCTGGGGGCACTGGCAGCTGAAACTCACCAGAAGGGTTTGCAGGATCAGAGTTTTATTCATACCAGGCAAAATATTGCTTGGAAGAGGGAAGAAAAAAAAAAAAAAAAAAACTTAACAGCTTTAGGTATGTCAAAGATTACCTTCTAGTGTATTGGTCTTGAAAATCCTCCTGCACAGGTTCTAAAAACAAACAAAAGCTAAGCTTTAAAGGAAAAAGGCAAGCAGTCTTACAATGCTTATTGCATGTTAACTACAAAGCAAATATTAGAAGTAAACAGAACATTAACAAGGAGCTATCTCCCATTATAGAGAAATGCCTTAAATAAAAACAGCATCAGAAATTCTGCATTTTCTTTGCACTACAGTGAAATATGTTCACATTTATGTTTTGAAGTACTATAGAACAGAATTACCTAATATTGCTGACAGATTTGAGATCTGTGGGATCTTATCTATGGTCACTGCTTTGCTGGAGTCCAGGAGAGTTGAGTTCTTGTATTTGACAAAGTCCTCGCAGAAAAGGTTACTTCTGTCTGGACACAGAAGAACTATTCAAGCTTTGATCAAACTGCCAGCTATCACGTTTGCAAAACAAAAACCTTTAGAAGAGAGGGAAGACATTGCCCTGCCCAAGTCTAGGAGGAACAGATGGCTGAAAAAAGACCATTTGGTCATCCCCAATAAACTGCTTGTGTCAACTGGAAATATTTTGATTTTATAGTATGATTCAAATTATGCCAGAAACTGATTCACTCTAAACTGGAGAACCAGATACACAGATTCCATTTTAAGCTTGGCTGAAGGTAAAGATCTGATCTGGGGAGCTAAGCCAACAAAAGCCATTAGTCTTCCTATGGTACACAGTGCTCCTATCATTTCCATCTCAAATACAGCTTAAAAAAAAGGGGGGGGAGAAGTCAAGAAGTCTCACCTGAATTATCTTCATCTCTGAATATTTCAGGGGACGAGCACAAGTTCACGCTGTCATTAGAGCCTGTGTTATAGTCTGCAGTGGAATCTACATCTAAACACTCTATTAGAAAAGTTGAGACACCTGTGGGAAGAGTCAATCCTGTACCTTCAAAAAGAAGAAAAAAAAACACATTATAAATAAAGTACCGTCGTATATACGCTACAGGGATTCCTCTTATCAGTGGGTCTAAGTTTCACTCCTGTGTTGAGCTAAATACTGTCAATTCACTATCTTATACTAATACACAATACACTTAAAAAATTCAAAGGAGCATCCTGAAGTCTGATTTACACCAGAATTAGTTAACAGGAGATATTTTACTTGTCCAATGTGCACTAAAATGCCTGGCAAATACTCCCTTCAGTATGGACTATTAATAATCTCTCTTTCTTCTAAGAAGCCAGACAGTTCTCTCAACAAATTTTCAAATACTCAAACATGGCCACAGAAGTTTGAGTTCAGTAACTACTTTTAATTATTAGAAATGTTCTATACAAACAAAAGTTTCTACCCTTAGGTGTAGGGTAACCACCACCTGCTTGGAATTATTTCCTGTGCTGTTAGAGCTGCCAATAGTGTCAATTCACTAAGTTTGCTGAACAGTATTTTCCATTTCAAAGGTTGCAAATGATAATTTTGAAAGTGTCTCCAAAAGTAACTGCTGCAAACAGTGCCAAAAATAAGGCATTGATTATACTAGAAGTAAAAAATAGTTTTCCTTGGAAGTCTGTAGCGGAAAATAAAGATTAAAGTAGCATTCTACATTCTCTATCAATAACTAATGCCATCAACTCCATTCTTACATGAATGAATCTGGGAAATAAATACAGAAAAGTAGAAGACTAATTTTGTGAAGAGGTAAATAAAAGCAAGATAAGTTACTTTTCCTCAAAGGCGCTTTCTAAAAGCAAAGTATGAACCACATGTATGCTGGAATAAGAAGCAGAAATCAAACCAGAGCCTTTTTGATAACCTGGTCATCCCAACCAAAACAAGAACAGCACACAAGCTAGGGATTCATTCCAAGGCCAGCACTTTTATAGAACTGGCATTAAAATTCATTACAAGTTGTACTTACTTGAAGTCACTTCAGCATTTTTCAAACTTTCTTTACTTTCAAAGTTGATTACTGAAGACTCCTGAAATTAGATGTCAGGTGCAAAAGAAATAAGGAAATTGCATCTAGATACACGGTTAAGCATGTTCCTACATTTTCAGTTAGAAGCACAGTTCATGCTCCTCCCTTTCAGAAGCCCAGAGCATTCATATAAATACAAACTTTATGTGGTTTAGGTATTATATACTACAAAACTGTTTCTAGAAAATGTGAATAACTGGTGGAGTCTAAATAAGAACTAATATTTTAAAGAAAAATAGTTCCACATCAATTTCACTTAAGTCAGTTGCTGTGTCAGATTTTAGCTCTAACATATGCAGTGAGCTATTGTCCTGCAGTTGCAGCATTGCCACAAAACCCTTCTGCTCAGTCATCTCAAAATACTTCGTTCTGGTTGTACAAATGAGAGGGCCAGCACAAAAGCAACTTGTCAAAGATTAAGCAGTCAGCCTGTGTCTGAACTGAATTAAACAACTCTCTGCAATGACAGTCTAATGAGCTGTATACCACACAGCACAACTGCTAAAGCCTTTACTCATTAAGAATAATTAGCATTGATGTGCACCACCATGCTTCCAATAGCTCCAATACTCTTTATTGGTGTTGTAGGGAGGGATCAAAAAGCACCAAGTTACAGGATCAATTTCAGCCTGAAAAAATATATATGCATATGTAGCTCACAGGAAATTCTACTAGAACAGAAATAAGTCACTAACATCCAGATTTTTATTTATTCCTCATAAATTGTTAGGGGATAAAGAACCACATAACATTACAACCTTCAGCAGTACAGCACTTTCTCTCATTTGCTCTTCGGTTTCTTCCACACTGGTCACCTCTTTGGCAGTCAGTAGAGTGCTGCAGTTGAAAGAAAAGAACAGAGCTAAGCTCAATATACAAAGCTACACATTCAATAAGAAGCCAACAAAAATTAGACAAGTTATGTTTATGAGAGGTCATCAAATAGTCTGACAAAAAAAAGTTTCCCAGGAATTCAGACTGGACTGTGTCCAAGAGGTCTCACACAGGCAAGCAGTACTAGCTAGTGTTTATAGCCACGTATTTGATGATGTTCTAACAGACCTTTGATTAGATGAATGGCTCGCTTGTGTCGCTTCAAGCTTTTCCTTAATTTTCGGTAAGGTTTTCAGACCACCCTTTCCCTTCAGGTCTAGAAAAGAACAAGTATTTAGTTAAGTAACCTTAGTTTTATCATTATCATTTAGATGATTATTTCTAAGAAAACACCTCTAACTGTTCTTTTCTTCACATCAGTAGCAAACTTTGACCCTAATTCAACAAACATCCTGAAGTCGGAACCTGGCCATTTCTGCCAAGCTTCATTTATCAAATATCGACAAGGACAAAAAAAGAACAGATTTTGAGAATCATGCAGGTGTTTCAAAAGTGTCTTGATTAAAAGAAAGTGACCTTTACTCTATATACACCAAGGCTTGAAGATTTTAAACGGAGTTTCACAAACATTTCTACGTGGACCGGTCATCACATCATCTCAAACATGAGATTACTGGACACTGCGTGAGCAAGAATCGTCCTCTTCCCCTCCTTCTTCCAAGATATTTCTAAGTATTAAGAGCAAATAGACCTCAAAGGCTGTTGGTTACACTGGAAAAGTCTCACCTGTAAGGACCAGTGACCACCCACTGACCTTCCCTGTTTACTAAAGCAAGGGACACCACCTGTGCCAGCCTTTAGTGCCCTACTTTGGGCACCATTTTTAAATTTCAAGCCTCCAGCACCCAACTTGAGAGCTGCTAAATTGTATCCAGCTGTAGGAAAGGCTGGCCCTTTAGCAGAATAACTTTATACAATCATTTAAAGTACACTCCCAAAGGAGGGGGCAAACACTTTGCCATGTCTTTTCCAAAGGGAAAAATTCCCCAATTAACAAGGAAAAAATAATAAAAATAAAAGGAGGAAAGAAAGAAGACATAAAGTGGAAAACCCCTCTTTTTCTACCAAATGACTAAAACATAAGAAATGCCCCCAGAGGCCAGCTGAGCTGCCTCCCTTTTCCACACGCCGGCAGACCTGGAAAGCCACCACCTGGGCAAATTGCGAACCTTTTCTAAGAGCCTCCTCCCCAGCATAAGGCTCTTGAGCACCGCCCTCACTTCCACCTCCCACGTTGTCACGGACACGAAGCCTAAATAAACCTAACGAACTCAATAAACCTAAGCAAAACACATGCAGCCCAGCAG